TTCAAATGCAAGCAAGTCGGTTCTTAAATACCTGAATATTGCCAAAATCTGCTTGTAAATCTAGCTGTGTCAACTGTGCTGAGAACAACTCTTGTTATGTAGTAGGTTATACTTGAGACATGCTCATAGAAATATAAAAATTCAGGATCTCGTCTTTATATTCTACTTACTTCTGCCCTCTCCACGCTCTTCCTCCCCACGCTCTGAGTTTTCAAACTATCTGAACTCTCTTCCTTAACAAATAAACACTGAACTACATTAGCATTTTGTTGGGATTATTTGTGCACTGAGTTTCAGTCTAAATTCCAGTAATAGGAGGTAATCTTAGTACCACTAATAGGTCTTTAATGCTTATTCCCTGGTCCTCACTTTCAGCTGATGATCTTGCTCTCTAATTCTCCGGAAAAAAAAAAAAAAAAGAATCACTAAGAAGGGAGTGTCACTAAGTTCACACCCATCATCACATAAGCATCTCCACCCATGTACTCTTCCTTTCCTCTTCTTGCTATGAATGAACTCTCTGTGCTTCTAGGTCCTTTACTGGTGATACAGCATCTCTTACCTAATCAAGGAAAAAGCTCTAGCAATCTTCTCCCCTTGCTCTTGTGTCAATCTCTACTGAATTATTCCCTTTGGCACATAAACTGAGTATAATTTCTCTCAATTAAAAAACATCTTCTTGATCTCATCTGGCCTTCCAACTTTCCTTTAAGCAAATCTCAGAAGTTCAAGTCCTTATTTTCTCTGACTCCTCTCCTCCGTTCTCCAGAGCTTGAACCCTCTAGGATCAGCCTATGATACTATTCTACCAAACAACCCTTGACAAGCTCACCCATAGCCTCTACATTGCTAAATCATATGGTTGGTTTTCTAGACCCTCAGCATACAGAGATTAGGTGACAAAGTTGATCTCTCCCTCTTTCTTGCAACACTTTCTTCACTTGGCTTCAGGGAGACAGCCCTCTTAGTCTTCTTTCTACCCACCTGACTGCCCTTCCCAGCTCCCTTTCCAGCTTCCTCTTCATCTCAGTGTCACCTCAGCAGTAAAGCACCCCAAGACTCAGTCCCTGGAGCCCTTCTCTTTTCTACCCACGGTCACTTGCTATGTGATCTAAATGAACCTCATGATTTTAGTACTATCAATACACGATGAATCTCTAGCCTTGGTTATTCCCTAGGCTGCAGACTTACATACCCAACTGCTTATGAGGCCCTTTACTTAGATATCCAACAAGCATCTCAAACGTAACTTTTAATAACCTGCCTCTCACACAAACCTGCTCTTTTCCCAGCATTCCCCATCACAGTAAATGACAACTCTGTCCTTCTCCTTATAAGGCCAAGGATCTTAGAAGTCCTTCTGGACCTCTCACTCTCATATATCCAGTCCCCCATCCTGCCCACCATCCAATGGACCAGCAAATCCTACCGATTCTATCTTCAAAACATATTCAGAATTCAACTGCTTCTCACCACCTCCACTGTCACTGCACTATTAATGCTATCATCGTCTGCCCCCTTGGATTTTGGAGTAACTTTCTAAGTTGCCTTCCCCTACTTCTACCTTTGCCTTGTCCGGTCTAGTCTCGGCTCAGTAAACCTTTTAACCTAAGTCAAATCATGTCACTTCTCTGTGTGACTCCCCCACCACATGATGGCTTTCTATCTCATTCAGAGCAAAAGCTAAAGTCCTTATAACTGCCAGGAAAATAAGGCTCTTGGTGACCTGGCCCCCGACTGCCTCTCTGGCCTAATTACTCCCAGCTCTTTCACACCACCACAGTTACGGTGGCCATCCTGCAGTTTCCAAGCACACCAAACAGTCACCCAATTCAAGGTATTTGTCCCAGATATGCTGCCCCCAGATAAACTCAGTCTACAATCCCACTTACTCAGATCTCACCCACAAACCCTTAGATGAAAGAGTAAGTCGTCTGCTCCTTCCCCTGACAGCCAACCGTATTCCCTATGTCTCATCTCTGCTTTACTTTTCCTTGATAGCATTCATCATCTTCTAACATATCACTTGTTTCTATGTCTCCTGGGTCATGGCCTCCAGATTATAAGCTGTGTGTGTGTGTGTGTGTGTGTGTGTGTGTGTGTGTGTGTGTGTGTTTTACAGCTCCTGACCTAGAACAAAAAGGAGTGCTTACTATGCAGAAGGCATTTAATAAATATTTGTCAAATGACTTGTAGCTGTACTTACTCCTTCCACTTAATAGGTGGGAGGCCATTCTTCCAGGTTATGGCCATATACTAGAGAGGTCATTCACCAGATTCCCCTGTGTAAACTCCCCCCATGGCCTTCTAACTCATTCAGAGCAAAAGCTAAAGTCCATAACCTAGAATAAAGGCTGTGTATTCACTAAGAAAAAGTAACACTACTTCTAACAATGAAGCCAGATCTCAACAATGTGCTCATTATCAGAAACAATACAATAAATAGTAAAATAAGGCAATGAGGATGAGGCCCTGGTTGCCACAGCCTCCAGATCCTCCAAGATCTGACTCACTGAGGTGGGTGGTCCTGGCAGCGGACCATCATTCTGGACCCCAAGTGAGCACACCTCACCCTCAGTCTGCCCAAGCCTGCCCTTTCCTATTGTCCCAGTCACACAACCAGGAGGTTAATGGAGCTTCTAGAATCTCAACACCAGACTTAGGATCTATCATTGGAAATATGTTAAGGAAGGTGCTGTCTACTAGAAAGGAGTGAAAATGCATTTGAAAGTAGTCCATAATTCCTTCCTGTTTTATTTTTTTCCCTCATTATAAAAACAACAAATGTTTAATTTAATATTAAGAAAATTAATAAGGAAGTAAAAAATCTCAGTTTCATCATTAAAAAATAACTATTAACATTTAAGTGTGATCCATCTAGATCTTATATAAATACACACATTTATGTGTGATCCATCTAGATCTTATATAAATACACACTAATTTTTAAAAGTTAATTATTGTATAAATGCACACTAATTCTTAAATCTCGGCCAGGTGCGCTGGCTCATGCCTGTAATCCCAGCACTTTGGGAGGCCAAGGTGGATGCATCACCTGAATTAGGAGTTCGAGACCAGCCTGGCCAGCATGGTGAAACCCTATCTCTACTAAAAATACAAAAATTAGCTGATTGGTGGTGGGTGTAATCCCAGCTACTTGGGAGGCTGAGGCAGGAGAATCGCTTGAACCCAGAAGGCAGAGGTTGCAGTGAGCCAAGATTGCACCACTGCACTCCAGCCTGGGCAACAGAGCAAGATTCTGCCTTAAAAAAAAAAAAAAAAGGTGGGTGAGGTGGCTCATGCCTGTAATCCCAGTACTTTGGAAGGCCGAGGTGGGTGGACCACAAGGTTAGGAGTTCGAGACCAGCCTGTCCAACACGGTGAAACCCCATCTCTACAAAAATACAAAAACTAGCTAGGTGTGGTGGTGGGCACCTGTAATCCCAGCTACTTGGGAAGCTGAGGCAGGAGAATTGCTTGAACCTGGGAGGCAGGGGTTGCAGTGAGCCGTGATCACGCCACTGCACTCCAGCCTGGGTGACACAGCAAGACTCCATCTCAAAGAAAACGAACAAACAAACAAACAAACAAAAAAAAACCCACGAGTTACCACGACTTGTAAAAAACTTAACTACATACAATGTTGGATTACAGTATGTATTTTTGGAACACTTACATCTGATCGTATTCAAAGATTGCTATTTCAAGTCTTTAGACCCAGGAACATCTCTCGTGTACCTAGCAATGTTTTAGGGAAAAAACTGGATTTGGGAACCTGGAGACTCAAGTTCCAGCTCTGCACCCTGTGCAAGTTGTGGAATCCTCCCCGTTAATTTATCTCCCCATTCCATGCCCTTGTCTATCCTCTTTTGTTATTTTTGTAATGAAAACCATTCTCATTTAGCTTACCTTCTAGTAGTAAACCTCACTTGCTGCAGAGGGTTCCAGATGATCTGACCAATGAAAAAAGATATGCCTAGCAGATTTAGGTTGGATCATTTATCTAGCAGCTGTAGTTTTATTATGCCTAAGAAACATGCAACTTACAGCTTGTTCTTTTCAGACCTAATAGATTACATGATTTGTGTATACAATTCCCAAAGACTACCATTTCTGCCCCAAAGTGAGACCTACTGGAGCCCTAAAAGTAAATATTCTGGTCCTCTGCCTTTCTCTTTGGCTTTATGTGTCTACAAGAGACCTGGAATTTGGGAAGTGTGGTTCTCCATGTTTAAGGATGCTTTGTCTTTCCAGCAATAAGGAAAGTCTTAGGAGGTTCCTGTGCTTTAGATTTTTTTCTTGGTAAAATCTGAGGATTGGAGATGGTATTATTTCTCAAGTTTCTTTCAGCTCTTAAACAGTGAAGCCTCTAGGTTCTGAGATGTATCAATCAACAAGAGTACATAAGACAAAAAGAGAAATAAGGAGTGGAATTCTAGGGCAAAAAAGTGGAGATATCAGGTCACTTTGGAGCTATCAGTAGTTATATACAAATACGAGCACCCAGTAGTTATTAACACTGCCTTCAGCTGAGTTCCAATGAGAACAGGAAGAAAGTTCAACCTTGGTATACAGTATTATGGCCCTAAGTTTATTAGTAGAAAAGTTCATACAACATTCTTCCAGAAAAATCCTAAAACAGATTAAAAATTATAACTAGGGAAAGGAAAGAACATCCAATACCTCCTATTGCAAAGATAACCGGGTCTCTAAAATAACCTTTAAAATAACAGATGTAAAATTCACGAAAAATGAGTTAACAGATTGAAGAGCATAAAAAGGTAGTTGGCATGTACCATATATATATAGCTATCTAGTAGAAGCTTAAGATGTAAGCTTGATTTTTTTCCCCTCTCCTTCTCTTGAGGGTTAACTTTCCAGCAAGAAATATCCAATCTTAAGTATATAATACTTCTCTTCAAAAATTTGAAGCAACATATTTATTCAACTTGAATGTGGTAGAATACAGTTCATCTTTGTAAAACCAATGGATTACTGACCTGAATTTAAGTCTCGTCCTGGATTGAAGGCCCGGCTATTAACAGTAGTAGAAAGTCGATCACAACTAATTGTTCTAGACACATTGGTATTAAAGCTCCCATCGAACCTGAAACAATAGGAGAGAATGAGCAATACTTATTCAGTCCAGAAAAACCAACCAATAAAAATAATGATTTACATTGTGTACAAGATAGATCAGCCCATAAACAATACAACTGTGATTTAGAATTAAATATTCAAAAAAATAATTTCAGAATTGTCGGGGGTCGGCGGGGGGGACACCTGCATCCAGAAGGTTTTAGAAATCAAATTCAATTCCAAGATAAAAACAAACAACCATTCTTCAAATCAACTTTTCTCCAATAAACTTAAGTTAGTACTATTGATAAAATCATACAGAAAATAGATGACAAAATTCAAAACAGAGCTACAAAAAAAAAAAAAAAAAAAATCAGATGGGTGCTCTGACGTTACATGTAAAACAGAATTCTTTAAATTATCCTATTGGAAAACTAATGACCAAGTACAAAAATAGACAGTAGTGAAGGATAAAGAATGGGTGTGGAGTAGGAATGGTCTAGATGTGAAACCCTGCTCTGTCACTATTAGAAAGATTATTCATTTTTTCTGGGTCTCAGTTTCCTTATCTGAAAAAGATTAAAAAACTTATTTTCCAGAGCCATAAAAAAATTAAACATAATGTATGGAAGTTCCTCTCATAGTATATGACACATAGCTTGTACCTGCTAGACTGTCATGCAAATAAGGCAAAAGTCTTTTCATTTCCAGTGGTAGTGTAATGCTAGTACTAGAGCTAGAACAATACTATTATTCTAGCTAGTAGCTGATCAATAAATATTAGTGGAATCAATGATCCATTGCTATAGCAGACAACAATCTGAAAGAATATAATAGGAAAACATACCAGCTTATTTACATATAGTCATTAAGAGTATTTTTAAGTGAATTTCATCCAGGAGTAACAAAAGTGAAGGATCTTGAACTTCTAAGTAAACTATTTAGGATTTCAGATCCTGAGAGGACTCAAAGTTTGTAAGAGATCCCCAAATAAATGCAACTTGAAATGAGGTTTTTAAAAATTTGTGTTAAAATGTAAACTTCAGGAACCACTAATGCAACTCCATGAACCCAAATAGAGAAGCTCTAAAGCCAGGAGAAACATTCCTAAAAAGCAATATCCATTTGACCACTGGCATGAACTTTAAAATCTGTTGATCACATCTCCTAACACATAAGAACTATTACATGGAACTGACTGCACAAGCAAGGGGACTAGGTTTTCACATGGTATGTTGGTTCCAACAACATAAGCTAAAAACAGTCTTGCTTTATTTCATATCATCTCCAAGAAGGAGATAGCTGGATTTTAAGAGACTGTTAGTCCAGGCTCTAACCTAGTGCAGTGTTACACCGACAATGTCAACTGTGCCTTAAAGGACACAGTTGCTTCATCAACGTGGCTGCCCTTCCTTGGACCTACTCCAGTTTGTCTAGACGAGAAGACTGCTGCCTCAGAAGCCACAGATGGAGGGAAAAGAAGAGATTAATACAGCAGCAGCTGCTGTGTCCATGCTGGCAAGGCACTATCACTACAACCTCACTTCTCTCTAAGCTATAGCCAGCCACACTAAGTCTATTCCCTCCCAGACATTTTTATAAAGGGAGAGATAATAGTTTAGGCTTTGTGGGCCATAAAGACTGTTGCAACTCCTCTGCCATTGTAGTGTGAAAGCAGCTACTGAAAATAAATAAAAGATTGAGTATGGCTGTGTTCCAATAAAACTTAATTTTCAAAAACAGGTGGTATTCCAGACCTGTTTCACCACTGCTGGCCTAGACCAGGGCAGTCCAAGAGAAGTCTCTGGGATGATGAACATGTATTATTTTTGCACTGTCTGACATGTTAGACACATATGGCTACTGAGCATTTGAAATGCGGCTAGCATAACAGAGACACTACATTTTCTACTTTATTTCATCTTAATTTGTAAATAGTCACTGAAGAATGGCTACCATATTGGAAAATGGAAGGCTGGAAGGTTCTCCTGATTACTTGTCTAGTAATCCTTCAGGTCTCTGTTCATGTATCCCTTCTTCAGAAAGGCCTATCCTGATTGTGATGACTTCCCAAGTCTATGTTAAATGCCTCCATATTCTGTCAAGGCATGTGCCATAATTTTAAATTTACAGTTCTATTCATGATTTTTATAGATCAGGTTCCATAAATAGACAAGAGTGCCGTGAAGGTAGGCACCATGTCTTGCTGATTTTGTTCACCACTGCATACATTGCTTAGCATTGTTCTGGTCATAAGTAGGTGCTCATATTAATTGGTCTTTTATGACCATCCACGCCATCCAGGGTGCCTAGTCCTGTTCTGGGCTCCCCTAAAGACTCCAAGAAATCTTAGCAAGTGAGGACCATGACTCAGTTGAATGGTTACAATACTGAAAGTCTAGCTACTTCAGAACCAGCTGGGATGCATGTTGGAATGCAGATTCCTGGGATCCACTGTTAGAGAGTCTGATTTAGTGAGTCTGGGGTGAGGCCAAGGAATCTGACTTTCACAGGCTCTGGAGGAATGAGAAGTGCCTTCCAATCCTGCTATGCAGATTCTTTTAGAAATAAAGCAAAGGAATGGCCTTCTGCATGAGCACAGGTACTTTCCTGTATGTCTCAAAGAGACCGAAGACACAGGATCTTCCGAATGGATTTAGATCAAGAGAACAGAGTAGTTCTGAGGTATGTATGCAGCTCACATCTGGACTTCGCTGTCCAAGTTATGAACCCTTTCTCCTACCCATTTCACAGTTGAGAAAAATGACACCAAAGACTGCAGAGCAAGTCAGGGACCTAAGAGAGACTTGAATCCATCACTCAACTTCTTTCCAGAGACAAACCACATACGATTCTGCATAAGTGATACATAAAGAAGAACTTGCAACTGAAGAGGGTTACTGACAAATCTTCCCAGGAAATGTGTAAACCTGGAGAGAGCTTTTGCCTATCTGGATTAAGTCTCCACAGACAGCACCTCGCTTTCAGCATCACCCCTTGAGAGAGCTGAAGTCCAATGCTGAAGATACACAGATTTTTCTGGACCTTTGTGAAATGCAAGCTGGCTCGTGGGACCAGGGACATCAGGGAACTATTATTATAGGTTGTTTTACTTCCTTTGCTGAAAAGATCATCTTCAAAAGCATTAGAGAAAACATTTTTATAACAATAAAAATGACAGTGACTCATTAACAAAAGTAGGTGCTTGATAAACATTTCTCCATCATAAAACAGTTTCATGACATGGTACTTGTCAACAATAATCTACCCGACCTTCTCTTCCCACCATCTCCTATCCTACACTTCTAACCAAACTGGCCCTTCCCTATGCGCTCTTCTGTTCGACCCCAACTGTGACGCTCTCCAGTGTCCACTCCACTCATTCTTCAAAGCCCAGCTCAACTCTTCTTCTTTCAAATTTCTCCCTAGTACTGGCGCATGATGAGTCCTTCCTCCTCCAAGCTGACTAGTGCCATTCTGCTTCTTAACTGTACGCTTGTGTCTTCTTCCTATTTTTCTTGTTTCATAATCAAACAACATAATATCACAGTCCTATCCATTAGATACAGATTTTTTTTTTTTTTTTTTTTTAAAGATTCTGCTTATACCAACAGAACACTAATCAATTGTCTTAGTCCATTTGGACTGTAAACTAGGTGATTCATGAACAACAGAAATTCATTTCTCACAGGTCTGGAGGCTGGGAAGTCCATGATTAAGGTACTGGCAGATTTAGTGTCTGGTGAAGGGCCACTTTCTGGTTCATAGACATGGCCTTTTCACTGTGTCCTCAGTGACAGGGGCAAGGCAGTTCTCTGGGACCTCTTTTGCAAAGGCACTAATGCCATTCATGGGGGCTCTGCCTTCATGATCTAATCATTTCCTCCTAATAGGATCATGTTGGTGATTAGTTTCCAACATATAAATTTGGGAGGGAGAAGGCAAATATTCAGACCACTGCATCAATAATATTTATAAATAAGATTCATTCTCTGGGAGGCCGAAGTGGGTGGATCACAAGGTCAGGAGATCGAGACCATCCTGGCTAACATGGTTAAACCCCGTCTCTACTAAAAATACAAAAAATTAGCCAGGCGTGGTGGCGGGCGCCTGTATTCCCAGCTATTCAGGAGGCTGAGGTAGGAGAATGGCGTGAACCCAGGAGGCAGAGCTTACAGTGAGCCGAGATCACGCCAATGCACTCCAGTCTGGGCAACAGAGCGAGACTCCGTCTCAAAAAAATAAATAAATAAAAATAAGCTTTATTATAAATAATGAACAAATTATATTATTCATTTTGCCTTCCCCCTACACCAAATAAATGTGTGTTACATGGGGGTGAAATGCCAAAAAGTTTTATCATGGAACCCCTATTTGACTAAACCCTACCTATGTAGCTCTTGAATTCTCAATTCTCTCTAAAACCTTTTATGCGCTTGAGAAATTTTAGCTTCCCCCAATGGGACTGTAGGTTACTGGAGGATTTATATTTCTCTCTCATGTCTAGCACAGTTGCTGGAAGGTGGGGCATTCCATAAATTCTTACTGGTTGACTGAGTAACGAGAAAGGGCAGAGTTAAGTCACCAGAAAGCTCTGGGCATTTTATTTCATAATATTCCTTGAACATCTACTATATTTCCTAAGAGTCTCAACTGCCGTGAGTTCTCTCACATGTGTTGAATTTCAGCCGTGCAGCATTCACTCGCCAGTCAAGTTAGCATGAAAAGCCTAGAAATCAACCTCACTCTGCTGTTTTTCTCACTACCACTGATGTGCCAGTCAGATGAAGAAGGAAGTGTCAATAGGGGCTTAAGATATACAGGGCTGGGGACCGGCTAGGTTAGCAGGAATAACTACTGGAAGCACAAGTGAAGAGTGCTTATCTTTCTACCCTTCACTAACACTCTAACGCCTACTACTTTTTCTGGACTCCAGACTTCACACACAGGGGTAAAACATGCTCAGCCATCCTTGTTACTTTAGCTACCTCTGGTCCCCAGAGGAAGAGTCACCTTGCCGAAGACAGG